TAGGAACTAAAGAAGGTGAAATATTTTGTGGGATGCCACGAAGGCGAGAAATTGAAAATGAGTAGGAGAGCTAGTATTAAAAAATTGGAGTTGCTCTTTGTCACATATTTTTCAGTATGAGGACGCCCCCAATTCAGGCACAAATAGTTGAAGCCGCACCCCTTTTCTCACCCACTGCCCCCGCCCCCCAACCTCGTACCCAGGGCCTGCCCGCCCGATTTTTTCACCATCCCCCTTAATAATTTAATGACCGTCCCTAATCAACTGAGCTACAGCATACAGAGAGACAGTTGTCATGTCCAGCTCTAACCACAAGTTCATGTATAAATACTAAGGTTAAATCCAGTGTAAGGTACATTGGTATCACCTTTTAGTACTGAGGTGCCGATAATTGCATTTATCGCAACTGATCCCGGTCAGGTCTAATAAATGTATAAAAATTCCATTCAAATATTCCATCTACAAATCCTTATAGTGCAGTGGCGTAACGCTCATTAGGGGTAGGGCAATTGCTAGATAGTATACTTCAAAATAAGGTTTCCGTTTTAATATCAATTTTTAGAATAAGTTAGGGTTAGGTTAGAGTTAGGTTAGGGTTGGGGTTAGGGTTGGGGTTAGGGATTATAAATATATATATATATATATAAATATTGTTATGTCCCAGTTGAAGCAGCTTGTGTGATTTATTAATTATTATAACAATCTAAACTTTAAGTAAACTAGGTAAACTAGAACAACACTAGTGAAAAACATCCAAACACAACTATGTCCAAAACCCACATGGGTTCCTGTCCAGTTCGTGAGAAGTCTGGTGACTAATGTCTATTACATAACAAATATAATATCTCAGTCAAACAATGACAACCGTCAACAGGGGCACCCACACCAAATATGCCTGAGGGTCCCCTCTTCCTCCGTTACGCTACTGAATTAGTTATCGACTGAGATGTCCAAAATCCTTATCTAGTAATATAATTATGTTCTTTAAGCTTTTCAATGTTCAATTGTGGCAATTTTACTTCTGACCAGCTGTTTATGACATGGACTCCAATTCGCGGAATCAGCGGGGAGAGATTCATCAGCAAACTTTACTTTCACACCTTTCTGGAACAGAAGACAGTACGTGGATCCGCCATATTGGAATTTTCCAAGCTGATCACCTTTCTTCACCGTCTGCCCCTCTTTCACCTCGATCAAACAGCTCGATATTTCACTCATGCCGATAGCAATAAAGGCAACTGTACCAATCTTCTCAAGACCAGTATCAATTAGGATAATGGCTCTAGTATTCACATGACTCTTGTAGCGTTGAGACAAATGGCCAACCGTTAGATCAAAGCCTGCTCTTAAAGCATCGGCGTAGAACGCAGCTTCCTTTATGAAGGCTCTTTTTATTTTTCCACCAACCGGTGCATGCCAGCGATGATAATATCTGCTGCTAAGAAACGCCTGGAACACTGTACCTCCAACAAAGGTTTCACTCAAAGGATCATTATTTAACATTTGTTGCAAACTGTACGGCTGTGACTTGATCCAGAATTTATCACGAAGCTGTGGGTTTTTGGAAATATAATACGGGCTTGCCTCACACGCAGCAACTACGGTGTACGGATCATCAGGGTTTGCGATTGGTCGGACGTTTGGTTTGAACTTCCTGGAGAAGAAGTCGTTCCACGATTTGTACCCACAGTACTCGTCTTCTTTATCACATGGAAATTTGTCCATAAATCCAGGCATCCTTTTCAAAGCTTCAGGCGACAGCCACCCATCCTTTTTGTTCAAAACCAATTTTGACTGAGGACTATCAAGGAATTTAGTCCAAGTTCGTAGAATATCTCGTAAACACTTGTTGACTTTATCGCTAATAAAAGCTTTGCTTCCGGAAGGCGTTGCAACTACATACACAAGAATGTTACCAAATGGTTTAGCTGGATCTTGGTAATCATCATCATCATCACTATTATACTGGAACTTAGGGGCTGCGCCGATGATGGCGTCCATCTTTCGAAGCATATCCATGTAATTTTTGATTGGATTGTCCGAACTGTCCGCTGGAGGTTCGGAAAACATATCTGAAAAGAGCATGTATACTTCAGGATCTGTTTCAATCAACTCTTTAAAAGCCAAGACCGACTTCTGTTTAATGTGTTTGCTTCCAATGATCTGTTTAAGACGCCTAGAAAATCTCGTTTTGTTGTAGGTGACGAAACGCATTAAATCAAACACTATTTCATTCTTTTTCTGCTTGGTGACGTCCTTCTTTTTCTTCAACTTCACTGCAAGGGAATGTTAAGCCGGTTACAGTCGAACAAGGTTTCTATGACAAGTTTTCATATATGGCAAGTTTTCTTTGTCAATAGGTCTTAGTAAGACCAGCGCGTTCCTCGCGGGCATGAAGCCTTGTAATTTCAAGTGGTCGATCATCGCCCGGGAAATTAAGGCCAGCGCATTCCTCGCGGGCCTACTAAGACCAGCGCATTCCTCGCGGGCATGAAGCCTTGTGCGTACACTTTCTTTTGCTTTCCTAAATAATTATTCACCTAAAGTCTAGAAGAGCGCAAGTTCAAAAATTGTTTAAGATATTTCAAAACTGGTGACGTGGTGTAAAAGCTATTATAATAGAGTTGTAAAATCAAAAGCGGTTTGACGTTTGCCGTAAACGTCAACCTTAAGCCTAAGCCGGCTAAGGTTCCCCGGTTTGTGTTATCTCGTCGACCTTAATCATTCCTTGTATCCTGCTCGACCTCATTCAATAATTGTTTATTGATTTCAATTAAGGAAGGTTTCGAAACTTGAATGTTTACCTGGAGGAAGGTTGAACACTTTTAGCTATACTCAATAGCTAATATGGTCAAGAACGAGACCATAGTACTAGCAGTCAAAGTCTATCTCCAGTTGCTTGCGTGTAGCCCTCTGTAGCGCGCTCACCTGTCAAGCAGGATCTTAGCTAGAAGGCCGTGTTGCCTGTTGGCCGTGTTATCGCGGCCAAAAGTGGCAAAACACGGCTAGATAAAATGAACGCGACTTCACTATTCATATAAGGCCGTGTATAGGTTCATAAAATAAGGTGGTGCTACTTACAACAGACAGAATTTCGTCCAATTTATGTCGTAAGAAAGTTTGTAAAATCTACTGTCGTTGTTGAATTGGTAAAAGTGATCTGTGATGTTTTGATGGATAATGGGAACTGCATGGTGTTAAAATGGTTTTTAAATACCCCAAGAGTTGCTGAAATAAACTAATATTTTAATGTCAGTGCGCAATATGAGCGTATGTTCGCCTTGTAGTTTGGTTGTAAAGCATAGAACAACCTATAGAACCGTGATTTGGCTATTCAAGGTAATTGACATGTGCACACCCTGGCCATTAGAAACACGCCCAAGATCTAAAATCCTAGCTGAGACCCTGCATGCTGTCAAGCTAACTGCTTGTTGAGTCAAACAAGTCAGCGTTGAGTAAAACGAATCAAACTGCTTGTCATTGTAATCGAGGTTCTTCACTGCTGCGTATTAACAATTCCGTGAATGTCTTACCTGAATTAGATGTGCTTAAAAAGTACAAGACAACACACAAAGTCAGACACACTGCAGCACATTTCATATTATCTTGCAAAGTTGGCTGGCCTTGAGAAATTAAAACCAAATGATACAAAATACAATGGAAGTAACTGTCTATGTGGATTTTGTAATACAATATATTCTAGACCTTTCTTATAATTATGGCGTCTGGCAGGCGTCAGCGTGCATGCATAAACTATTAGAGACTATACGATTTTAGGACTGTAACGGCTACCAATACAATAGATCATTGAAAAGAATTGAGTAATTACAATATATGAATTTAGACATTGTCCTTGTCCTAAAATCGTAAGGTCTCTAATTTCGTCAAACGCGGATATACAAACACTTTGGCTTCGATTTTCTTGTCTATTTTGTTTTGAAAGATTTTTCTCCAGGAAAACCCCACAAAAGCGGTAGGGTTTCGCTAATTTTATTTATTTAAATTAAATCAATTAGTAGGTAAGACGTGATGTTCTCAATGTATGGTGATAACATTTATTATTATATGGCTTTGCAGAATCCTGGATTCTGATTGGTCAACGTGCGGTCCGTAAAATGCGTATCCGGACCGTGATCCGTATTTTCCCGTATCTGGACCAGTTTCCCGTATGTCAATTTGACAGGCTCGCATTTGAAACGTTTTTACACGTTTATAAGGTCATTATGTGAAGAAAAAGTATCTTTAGATCATTTTTAAGAATAAGAAGTCTTGGAAATATTAATAAGTACTTGTACCAACACAAATTTCATCGAAAAAGCTAAGAAAACAAGCCGTTTGAACTCGGGGGGGGGGCAACTCTTAGGGACGGACCATTATTTTTTTTTGGGGGGGGTGGACTTTTCGTCAATGCAAACAATTTTTTTTGTGTTGTTGTCATTGCAAACAATTTTTTTGTGCCTGCTTCCTTCTGCAAACAATTTTTTATGTCCATCTGATTGCTGTAGATTTTAATTTCTGCCCAATACACTATCACATGTGTGAACAACATGTGGTGTTCAGAGGCACAAATGAGGGGGGTGTGGGGGGTGTGACCCCCCCCCCCCAATATTTAAACAATCGGTCCTGATGGTTATTATAAAGTCGGTCCCATGAAACCAAATCCAAAGCCCGTTTTATGCGCGGTGCAAAGGGCGCGATGGGAGGCTATGTATATCACCGGTTTGTATGGAATATTACGGTAATTATAGTTCGACAAAACATCTCAAAATAACATTCACTATATTTTGAATGCGTACTATTTTGTCGGAACCAATTGCGAGCAGTTATAGCTACACACGAGGCATAGGTGTACGGGAAGAAAAAAAATAGGGGGCAGAAAGAAATTTGCCCGACTTTTTTCCGTTCTGCCCGATTTGTCAAAAAATTTTCCGTGCAAACTTTTCGACAGAAAGTGAAGGATAAAGATATAGATAGGGCACTTCAGCTGAGGAATCTTTCTGTCACTCGTGGGATGCTCGCTCAGAGTCAATTGTTGCAGAGTGGGCGAGGTTTGATGACATAATTGCTGCTTTGGATAAAGAAGCGGAATTAGAAGATGCCAAGACAAGGGTTAAAGCTAAGAATCGACTTGCAGCTGTCAAATGTTTCGAATTCATCCTGGCCTTAATGCTCATGAGAAATGTTATGTCTAAGACGAAGATTTTAACAAAGCAAGTTCAAGCCATTTAATTGAATATTGCCGATGCTTTGGAAGTAAAGCTAAATCTCCAAATAGAAGCTGCTGTTGCGTTTAGTGCTCAACATGGTGTCAATGCTGAATCGAAGTTTGCTAAGTACCACAGGAAGAGAGTGGAACCACGCAGAATTGATGATACGCCTGAAAACGCTATTCATTTTGGGTTGCAAACGTTTCACAGAAAAGAGTTCCTGCAAGTGCTTGACGCCCACATACTATTGCTTGAAGATAACTTGAAAGTGGCCTTTAAGATCATAGAGCCCGCTGTTTCCTTGCTAAAGCCACAGTATATAACGAAAGTAAAATTATTTCCAGAGATGTGTTGTCGCTGATTGACTTGTTTCCAGCCAATGCCAAACCGGACGAAGCTTCACTTGAAGTTGAATTACAAGTTTTTCGATCGAAATCATTGTTTGGCGTCAAAACAAGGCATTGCTACCATTAGCCCTATTCACATTAGAGACGGACAAGTCGTCTAGACGAACAAATTGTCTCTCAAAAATCGTCTTCACAGACGGACAAGTAGTCGAACAAATTCAGACGACTTGTTCGTCTAAAATTTTGTCCGACACGTTTTCACATCTGATGATTTGTTCGACTAAAAGACGATTTTGAGACGATTTGTTCGTCTAGACGACTTGTCCGTCTTCTAATGTGAAAACGGCTATTAACGATGCTTTGAATTATTGTTCGACTCACATTACGGTGCTAATTGAAACTTGTTCTCACAGCTCCTGTAACGATGGGCTTCAAGCGAGCGAAGCTTCTCAAAGCTCAAATTAATTAAAACTCTCATCCGTAGCTGCCTCGCCCCCAGGCGCTAATAAAAAAATTTCATGCGAGTCACTATATGAAAGGCTTACATGAAGCAGTGCGTCACATTATAGGCGCGCAAAGGGGAGTGAGATATGAGCGTTTCGATGCCTCAAGCCCATAACTCCCTGCGATTGTTCGTCGTGACGCACTACTTCATGTAAACCTTTCATATAGTGACTCGCATGAAATTTTTTTATTAGCGCCTGGGGACGATGCAGTCAGCTAAGGATATTGTTGTTGTAGTCGTCGCATATATTAAAATAACAAGAATTGAAAAATGTCCGCGTTACTATTTATTCTATAAGATCGTAATAATATGTAGTTTGCACGAGCCGCGAAGTCGGTCCTTGGTGAAAAAAATCGGTCCTTTGTGCGCACACCCCCCTGAAAAAAATTGCATTTGCGCCCCTGGTGGTGTTGCCAGAAATATAAATTTAATATGTAAACGGACATTTAATTGTTTTTTGGTATACTGGTCTGAGCCTTAGTTAAGGATTTTCCCGTGTGGGGGGCGGTGTTGGAAAGGGATCTTTCTGTGAGACAATATATTAGAGGGGGGCAGCAATGGCTGAAGGCCACCTGTGCGGCCAACATACCACACATGAATAGGGAATCTGTGCCATACTCGGAAGCCCGGAAATGCCATTTCCTTCATTCTGAGCTTCCAAATTTGCTCTAAAATTTATGCTAACTATACATGTATTTGAAATAAAAGAAGGAAAAAAGCACCAAAAGTTAAAAAATATTAACTATAAGTAGTAATGGCTGAAGGCTATGTGTGTGGGGGTATATTCCCCCAGACAATTTTTGAAATTCCATTTCCTGCATTCTGAGCATCCAAATTTACTAAAGCCTAAAACTTACTTTTTGTTTATAAAGCCTAAAACTTACTTTTTGTTTATCTATTTCTTATTCTTCGCTGGTTTGTTTGTGTAAATTTAGGGAAAAGGGACTTTTCCTGGGGGGTGGAGGGGGAGGGGGGGGGTTGTAGGCTCTGATACTGGTTCTTGAAAAGATCATTATTTATGCTACACAATGTCTAACACCAGAACTTGTCCAATTACATATTTTATAGGAAAAAAAAACAGAATTAAAAAAAAAAAAAAGTCAAAAGACAAAAAAAAAATGACTGTATTCAATAGATTAATATTTATAACCCATATGTAGATTGCGACATGTGCCCAGCGTCTCCCATCCCAGGGCTTTTGGGGTGAAGACCCTGGGTATGTCGGTGAGCGCTCTGTTCATTGTTATTAAACCTTGGTTGATGTTGCACAATCTCATGAGCTTGCAAACTATTTTTTTCCTCGTCTCTATATGTGTGCAAACAATTTATTTGTACTTTTTGTCTTTGCAAACAATTTTTTTAAGAATTTTCCATCCCCCCCCTAAAAAAAAATAATGATCCGTCCCTTACTGGCAACCATATAAGTTTTGGCGGAAAATTTTTTTGATTTGTTTACTTGTTTCAAAAAATAAATAAAGATGAATTTAACGTCTTTAATACCATATTCTAAACAAATATCATATAAACTGGGTTTATAAGCATTTCTGGGGGTGGGGGTTACCGAAAAAGTAGTTCTAAAGCGATTGTTAAACATGCTTTTCCGTAAACAATATTCGGTGACGAAACCAAATCTAAACGAAGAAAACTAGCAAATAAAACATAGCTCAAAAACACCTTTATAGCGCTGAACAAATATGACAATCAGAAAACGGTTTATTAACCTCGTTTTGCTCGGACTGTACGGGAAAGTATTTCCCTTCGGTTTATCCGCACAGACCTCGCTAGCTCCTTCGTCGTTCGGTCTGTACGAAAACCTCAGGGGCCGGTTGTATAAAAACGTAGTTAGCGCTAACTGCAGTTAAAAAGTAGTTAAAAAGCCTTAAAAAATAGTTAACTTTAATCACGTAGTTAAGCCGGTTGTATAAAAGTGTAGTTAGCCTTAACTGCAGTTAAAAAGTAGTTAAAGTTAACGATGCTTTAGGGTATAGTTAACTGTCCAAAACGTAGTTAAAAATGGCGTTTGTATAGGAGTGAACAACATTTTTCAGTAAAACAACAATGAAAAGCAACGCTTACCTGAGATTTTCAATCGCTATCTTCCCTGTGAATGTTTCCTGACAATATAAACTCTTCAAACGCTATCACTTTGGTGTTTTTACAAAAACAGAACATATTTTTGCACAGGACGATTTCTCGAAGACGAAGTATGGTCCATTATACACCAAGAAACACTGATATATAATTGCCAAACAGCTATGGCTTGGTTTAAGGTAGACATCTCAAGAAAAACTGCATTCTTTTATGATTTTTGTGGCGGTTTTTCCTTGTTTTCTTGTTTAATTTTCACTGTTTTCTAGTGTTTTGAATAAAATTCCCGCCTATTTGCAAAATACGAGTCCACAATCATGTTGAAAATGCGTGTCAGTGGTCGTTACTCGCTGCTTACTTTATGTAATTTTGGGTTTAAACGCCCCACGCAAGCCCCACGCACAGTTAACTACGTGATTAGTTAACTATCCGACTAACTACGTTTTGTGCAACGCAGTTAAGTCATGTAGTTAACTAATTACAGTTAAGGATTTAACTACAGTGATTAACGCTAACTACAGTTAGCGCTAATTACGTTTTTATACAACCGGTCCCTTTCCCGTACAGACCTCGCTCTCGGTTAATAACCCTTTAGTATATACAGGGTGAGTAAAAAAAAACTGATACCTTCGCGGCTAATTTGAGTAACAAACCTTTGTTATTCAAATTAACCGCGAAGGTATCAGTTTTTTTTTACTCACCCTGTATTTCCCTCTTGAATTACGTTGTCAAAGTGACTGAAAAACAAAGCAGTAATGGCTACGGATAAGAAGGCGAGATATTGTCTCACTATTTTATTTTCGATTTTAAGTCCGTGTTTTACGGACTTCTTTTGTGTTTTCCACCTGTTAATTGTGTTTCTCTAGCTACCGATTACTGAACTTGGTATTTGTCGGTAAACTCAAAAGCGTCATATAACCGCGTATCTGTTTTGCCTCGTATTTAAATGTTTATAGCATGTAGTAGTTTCCATCGTAGCCTACTGTCCAGACATATTCAGCAAATTAAGGTCTTTACAACTGTATTTGCCCTTTATGTAAGGCCAGGCCTGATGTATACGTAAGGCTAAGTAAAAAAAATTCCCGGTTTCTCATCAGACGTTTTTTAAAATGCAAATGCGGCGGGCGGTTTTTATTTTTTATATTGTAAATAACCAGTTTTTTTTAACAACAGAACTTAAATTGTTTAATAAAAGCCACTATTTTACCATGTACATTTATTTAAAATATAGTATTTATAAAAAAAACATGAGGTTGGCGGCGATTTGCATAAAATATTACACTGCTGACCAACCACCGCTAAATATTTCATGTAATTGTTATTTATAAAAAAAAAAAGCAAATGCGGCGGCTATTTCCTAATGCCGCCAATTAATCCTGGCGAATGAAAACATAAGGGCCTGATACACTCAGGTTAATGCAGGTGCTGATAAGAAACCAGGAATTTTTTACTTGGCCTAATATGATTATGTTAACATTTACTTCTATACTATAGGATTATTCAGTCTTCAGAACTTTGAAGAACATTTCATTTTGTGTCCTTGCAATAAAATATTATTAAATGTTATCTTCAACCACGTACGCGATAAATTGGATCCTTTTAAAAAATATTAAAGTATAAAATGAAAGCACATTGTATGTATCCAGAATCTGCATGCACTAAAATGTTCATCACGCTTTGATGCGTATAACCTGAAAGAAATGAAGCCATATGTACTTGTACTTTTCAATATGGCTGGCTGGTTGCCATCGCAGCTGACATCTCAAGGTCGTTGGGGCTAATAAATATGCGCAATAAAAACAATTCCACTTTTCATCAAAATCCTCAATTCACGTTATATAGTACCTAACTTTCCAAAGATATTTAACTGCGTTTTCATCTTGGTCACTTCGGAAAAAAAACTGCCTCGCTCATTCTCTCTCTACATATTATTATGCAACAAATGTGCATGTCTGCTCGTTCTTCAGAAAATTGATAAGTGTAATGGACAACTTGCATGTTAGACTAAATTTTAAGCTAAGTAGAGAGAAGGGAATAAAACACAACAGTTAAAAAGAAAATAATGAAATTAGTAAGATTGCAAAATTTGGTTGCGAAATGTTGTAAAATGCAGAAAATATAGCCTTGCGAAATTTGCATATTTTCAGTATATTTGTATTACGTGCGGAAATTGTTACCATTTTCGGCTCAAAGATCGATGGTAACAATTTCCGCACGTAATACAAACATACTGAAAATATGCAAACTTCGCACGGCTATATTTTCTGTATTTTACAACATTTCGTAACCAAATTTTGCAATTTTACTGATTTTAATAAGTTCTTTACGGGAGTTTACTTTTTTGCCTAATTCTAAAATTAGTCTAACATCCAAGTTGTCTATTAGCTTCAAACAATGTCAAACATTGTCGTTTTATTATTTAAGAACGCACATTGAAACACGACTATCATACAAATGTAAGTTACTACGTGACAAATGTGTCTGCCTCGTTCTTCAGAAAATTCATATGTGACCACTTTCCATTTATCATGCAAGCGCTTCAACTACAATTGCATTTTGTTAGATCGCACATTGTAACCATGGCCGACTATCAATTGAGAGTAATGGCATGGGGGTGTTGAAAATTCTAATAAAAATTATCAGGATACAGCTTGTTAGAACTTAGAAGGAGACATACATGAAACTTATTAGAAATTTGGTGAATTGCCAAGTACTTTATAATGACAATTGATATTCTAATTTTAGAAACAAAGATGTCTATAATTTATATTTGAAATGAGCTCACGCGACAAAAATACAGACCAGTCAGATGGATTTGGTCAAAACAAAGTGTAAATAAGTTGTATATTGAAGCCATGGAATAATTAAAAAAATATACTGAATTATAAAAGTATAGGAAAAGGGCAAAGCCACCCCCCCCCCCCTGCCCCAGCCTCCGTGCATCGAGTCCCCTCACTCAAAGTCCCTTTTCTCTAAAGTATAAGCAAAATATCGGAAGAAAAATGGAATTTAGAAGGAATGGAGTTTGATATTCTAGTAACTGAAATTTGCTTTGTGAATCTTATGTCATGCCTTTTATCTTCAAATGATTGAATGTCTTTTTAAATGCTGAACATTGTATTGTAAATACCTTAGATTTCAAAATTTTCCAGTGGATAACATATCCCAGATCCTAATGATATGAGTTGTTAGAAGGGTAAGCTAAACAAGTTAGCGACCGAGTAGAGGCATCTACATAAGCATACCAAACAAGTATAACGGTATACTAAATGCAGTCCTTGGTACTACAGGATGGAAAAATACAAACATTTGGTGGTCCTTCCACTGACGGCATTTATTTCCATTTTATGTTTGCTTTAATTAATGTAATTTATGTATACAATATTAACGTTCTAAGCTGTATGTGTAATATAATGTATAATGTAATGTAATGTATATATGCTATCCCTTCTAATCTAAAATACATATAACATCAAAACTTTACTGTAGTTCAGATAGAATATAATGTTAATAAATTGGACAGGAATCCGCGCTGGAAACAAGATGTGAATAATCACAACATTTATAGGCATCACGGCTGTAGTACTTTGGACCACAGCATTTGAACCCAACCTTCTGGTCGTGGATTGTACCACAGCAGCATTCTTGTTTATTAGAGTCAAAAGTTTGGTCACCGCACATTTTTCCTATAATATATATAAAATGATACAATAAATCTGCATTAGGTGATGACGGATGTTACTGTAATTAGGAGTAAACATAAACTAAAATTGGAATTAAAACCAAACGTTAATTTAACAATAAAACTTAATACTTCAAAAAGTCAGACGAATAAATATCTTAAAAATTTGCTAATTTGAAGTTTGGCAGGTAATTTAAAAATTCCAAACCGAATCCACAGAGTCTTTTAAAAGTAATTGATTTGCGCCGCTGGAAGGTAACGCGGTATGAGGATAACCGCTGAAAATCGAAGTGTGATGTTTTTACCTCAGGTTGACATTGTATTAATGTTAAGATATTAATATTAATGAAGAGGAAATGAATGACAGATTGAAACTTGTTTCATGAAATTCAAATTGCATGCAGTAGAATGAGGAGAGTGAAATCCCAGAAATGCTCGTAGATAGGTCGATATTTTTATATATCGTTTTAAGATTACCGTATTTCAGTGCGACTGTATAGGAGATGTGTTCCTCCTATTTACCTTTTGCTCATCTATCAATAAACCCATGACAATGTCGAGCAATTTCCGCCAAATCGGACACATTTTTGTCCGTTCCCAATTTTTAATTTTCCGCCCGTACGTGTACATGTGCATGAATCAGGCAAAATCTGTGTCCGATTTGGGGATACTGGTTAAACATTTATTTCTTTTGGATTTTCTTCATGACTTATTAATGAGTATTTCAAATACATCAAAATGTTTTGCACAATCATTCTCTAAGACTAATAGGGGTTGTTGCGCAAATTATAATGCCGGATTCCTGTTCAGAATATCATTAAGATGAAAAAAAAATATTCTGGTTTTTAAATGTTCGAAAACGTCATTGCCAGTTGATTTGCGCAATATGTTTGCTTTTTGTCATGAAGTGTCCATTGCTGACACAAGGCCTACTCAGACCGATTTGAGGCTCCCTTTTGATAGTTGAAGCCGAAATCAGCAAAGTTAAGATGTCCTATAATGGTGCAAGTCTTTTCAATCCCTCATTTATTGATCTAAGAACTATATTGAAAAATATACGGTTTCATCTTTTATATTAAATCTTAAAGAGTTATTTCTCCAACACAACCACAAAATACAACATGTGGATGAATTTCCTGCGCTATATGCAAACATGTTGTGCTTTGTCAATGCTTTGGTAACAGGTTATAAAAAACATGAACAGTCGTAATATAAATAGTTACTGATATAGTATTTTTAAATAAAGTACTAAACACGTTGTCGTCTTACTTGCAGGTTTCATGCAGGTATTTTCAATAAGCCTCGAACGGATGGTGTTGATATTCTTATAGTCAGCCTGGACGACATGTCCTGGTGACGTAGCCATCCTTTCAAGATTGGGCCTAAATTCCGCTCTCATCTCCTCACTTCCCACAGCGGCACCAACAATAACAATTCCCTTTTCTTTTATGAGATTTGCATTTTTCATAGTTTTGTTCAAAATGTCTACCACTCCCCAAGGGTTTCCATCTGTGATAATTGCCACGACGTCATCTATGTCAGGTCTGTTGTTTTTTGGACTTTTTTGAGTAAACACCTAGTTTGAAAAATATTTGATTATTGCCCCAGCCAGGAGGCTATGTTTCCATCAGCGTTTGTATATGTGTGCTTGTGTGTTTGCCTGTCAAGCACGATAACTTAATAATATCAAAGGTATTAATAGGAAAATAGGTGTGGGTCCAATAGACATTGAATTTGAATTTAATTTAATTTTTTTGCCACGCGATAATTATTTCAAACACACAAGGAATAATATAGTGGCAAGGTGACCTCAAAAAAACTGTTGGGCGTATGAGTCGAAGTCATCCTCATTATATAATAACACCAGTTTATTAGCCTTATATAGTAATATTAAATATTACACAAAAATTCAATTTAGAAAAAAAATATATATTGCACAAATTGATTAAATTTTGGCTTAATTTGGATAAAAGTGGACAAGAAATTAGCAAAAGTTTATCTTGCTTTGCTGGACAAAGTAAACTGAATGGGCAATTGTTGTCCATTGTATAATTTGCTCATGATACATAATTTACATAACATGTCATAGTCAGGAAATAGACCTTATGCACAATGACGTCACAAGGCTTCATGCCCGCGAGGAATGCTGGTCTTAGCAGTCATCGCCCAGGAAAATTAAACAATTCAAAATGGCCAAGACCAGCATTCCTCGCGGGGATCAAGCCTTGTGACGTCATTATGCATAAGGTCTATTGATGTGCTTTGATTATTTAGGTTTTTCTAAGAGTTTTTGTAATATATTGCACGATTCCAAAATTTGATCTTGATGGACTTTTAAGCAAACCGTGTCTCAATATCATGCTATTCTGTCAAGTTGTTAACAATTTTTAAAAGTAGCGAATAGCGATTTGCTGTTTGAAAAGTAGTTAACTACTTGGCTACTTTTAGGCAAAATGTAGTTCGCTATAACTACAGCTACTGATTTAAAAATGTAGTCAAAAACTACTGGCTACTTGAAAATTGTAGTTCGCTACAGTAGCGAACTACAACTACTTCGCTACTACCCACCCTTGTTATTTATAGTAACAATGTATTGAAATGTCTGAAGTTAATGTTGCTACTACTATCTTTGGGCGAATTTGTCAGAAGGGAATTCTGAACTTTGATCATGATCATACTGTACCTTATTATTAGCGATTCTAAAAGCAACATCAGTTCTTGTAAAACCTCCTTTAATATCATCCCATTTCAATTTATCGATAAACTGCGCCAGTTTATCAGCATCATAAATCTTTCCAAAGTCTAACAAGACCTTGGTCTTTTTCTCCTCACTGAATATCATCAGCGCAATCTGTGTACCATTACGGGAAACGTGGAGATCTTTGTCTGTGACAAGCATCTTAAGAAATGGTTTCATATTTCTTTCGAAATACGCCTGGACAGAAAGCGATGTATCGAGAATCAGCAGGAGGTCTTTCATGCAAATAGCTGAAAATCAGAAAGGAAAATTACATGAAGAACTATTTTTGTTTAAAATTTGTTTCAAGTCTGTTACTCGGAATTTGCAGGGAGCAGAAGAAGTTGAACTCTTGCATGGTGGCTGGTGGCTGGTGGCTGGGGAATGGTTTTTTTTCGGGGGGGGGGGGTGCTAATTTTCAGCTAAGTTTGGCACCGTAATTAATTTTCAGCTAAGTGCAAACAATTAAGACATGTAAAACATGATCGAACAGTCACACAGCAGTAGCGTATTGGAAGATATTTAGGTTTGGGGGCTGGTAACTTGGGGGAATCCGGGGGCATTCTTCCCGGAAAAATGTGAAAAAAGGAGGCTCAGAAATGCCATTTCATGTGCTTTTTGGCACCGAATTAAAGAATTTGGACAACAATACTGCGAAAAATTACTTCATATAATTGGCTGTGTCAATTTGCATGAATTGATAGGGGATAAAATCGTTGGTAAATTAGCATAGTCGAACTACTTGGCGATGGGAAAAGCTCACGCTTTTTGACCAAAACATATAAACTTAATCTATTTTTAGGGAGTCTTAGCCCCCCCCCCCCCCTGGATGTAAAAGCTGTGACCGGTGCTCTGCAATTAGTTATTAATAAACAGTATGTTTTATAAACAGCAAACAAAGGCAAGGTTAACGTCTTTTAGTAAAATTACATAGATGATTATTGAAAATTCTCCACGCTGATTGGTTGCCGTTGAGGTGATTATAACGCGATGATCACCCAAGCGATTTTCAAAATGGCAGCCGAAGCCGTTTTGTCAATTAAATGACGACAAAATGTGTATTTTGTATTTCTTTCCAAATAATCAACTATGAAATTATACTAAATTAACAATTATTCACCTCAGGCTCGGTGATTATCGTGAATAAAAACCTCGACTTCGTCTCGGTTTTTATTCACCAATAATCACCTCGCCTTCGGCGAATAATTGTTAAACAACGATCAGAATATAAGCGACAACATACGATCCCATATGCAGCTATTCCAATCAATGTTGTCACAAGCATTAGGTCACTCTTTTCATCATGATACAGTTCAGTGAACATGCATGCATGAAAGGTAATTTACACAAAAGAATCTCATCAAAATCTCATTAGTTGCCCTCCTCTGCTTTTGTGTTAAAGTTTTGCGGGATTGCTTGAAAGTCACCTATAGTCAAATGTACAATCCAAGTGAAATGTATTATAAATCGCCTCTTAGGATTTGAAGTGGTGAGCATCTACCATATTTTCGCATAATTATTTACAATACAGCTCTTTAAATCAATCGCTTGATATGACATAAAAATTGTCAATAGTCATTTTTTCTTCCGAAAATCATGTATTCTCTTTAAGAAATTAAATGTCAAAATTACCGACGATTATGCTAGATTTAGCAAACAAGTTGGACTATATAGCCTTGTTTTTGTGCTATTTGCGTCTTTCAGAGGGCTATAATTTTGCTTCCATAGATTGTTTCGATATTAAACCTTGGCACTTAACAGTCTCTGTTGAAAAATTATTTATCAGCCTAGCAATGTATATGCATAAAATAATACAAAACTGTGGTACTTAGTTTTCGAATTGGTCAAGATGGGCTTACAACCCAGACAAAGATGGAGAACTCAGTACGTATTTTCTGAAGTCAAGAGGACAATATACCTAGCTTTTTACTTACCAACTTCAACCGTTAATTTGTAAATTTATGTACGTGTTTACAGAAATTACATGCAAACCTCTGAGAATTGCCAGGAAACCTAAGCAGTTAAAAATATTAGGTACGTATATATATATACAACCCATCTTGCTATTCGTGTTTGGATTGTACACTTGACAATGACAACCTTAATTGACATATAGGCAAATAACTGTATATCCCATATCTATAAAGAAATATTCAGTATGATAGTTACGTGAATCTGATACTATGCGCATGTCTGCGAATCCATTGAACTTACGAAGGGATGGCTCATCATCTAGAAAAGAAACATATTATTATATAAGTATTATATAACACCTCATTAAATTCTGGTAATTTAATTGGTTGATTATGATTATGTGATATGGAATTAAAATTCCAATTTTGCTCCTGTGCAATTAATAATACTTGTACAATATTGTACGCTCAGACAATGTCTGGAACAATGAGAACATATGGTACCTTTTGTGAAGCTACCATAAATGACCAAATACATCCGGCTTCGCTCAAGAATGAACGGCTCAAAACAAATTACTCAATCAGATGTTAATATATTTTATAGCGAAGTTAAAAAATAATCAGTAATACTAAAAAGTAAAATTGCTAAACTATGGCTCCCGTAATTATCAAACATGTTTTCAATTAAGCACATACCATACGTCTCGCCGTTGATTTTACCCTGCGGATTCCAAGGTCTTTGAGCTTGACTTCCATAAAGGAACAACGTCACAATCACCAATAACTTCATCATTGTCTTTATGCAACTTTAATAACAAACTGAATTGCTCTGTATTTTATTATACTTTTGAATGCCTCCGCGCTAAATCAGTAACTAAACAGCCTCAACCTTGCTCCTTTTATACAGTTAGCAGAACTCACAAGATTGAAACGGTCGTTTGGCCGTTGTAAGTCTTGACCGTTATTTACCGTTGATTAACCGTTTTTCGTTAATGAGCACTTAACACACAATAGGATTTGATAGCTTATGCAAAGTATAGGCGATGGTCAACGACATAATTATGATCAGAAATCGATAGGTTTTAGTTTCAAGTCAAAGCTGGAATATAGGCTATAGTACAAAAATGTGGAATTTTTATACAGTTATTGATATAACCATGCAGGAGCAGTTTCGATAAATGCAACTATCGAACCAGCGATTCCGGTATAGAAATCGCAGGGCCTCAGCCCAGGTTAATTCGCAGTCCTGTCAGATGGTCGATATAATTTAATAACAGCAATGCTGTCATTGCTGTGGCCAACGATGAGCGATTAAATCATTTAGTTCAATTTGAATGAATATTTCGTGGTGAGAAATCAAATCTCGTGTCAATTTTCTAGACCGAGCTATATGAACTCAACCGTGTATCAATCCCGACGTAATATTTTGGCCGCTATATGCAATCCGTTCGTCGAGTTTTATGTGAAACAATGACTTTGGTTGAATTTTATTTTTATAATATATATGCGAAACCTACTTCCTATATACTACAATCACGTATGCGAGAAGTATTCGCTGCAGAAAAATCAGAAATGCCGTCAGTGGTTGCATGCGAGCTATAAATATAAATTTTAGATTTTTCGAAATTTCAGTCCTTATGGCTATTGATCAACCTAAGACTAGATTTTTACTTACATGCGAATTAATGCTTTTAGTTTGGTTTGCTTCGTTGAAAGTACCATGTTTATTTTCTAAAGCTTTGTTGGAAGTACTATGTTTCTAAAGCTTGGATTTTCATCTGTAAATAAATAATGGTAATATATCCTGTATCCAGTTATACAGACATGACATTTTCTATATGACAAGTTTACCATTGTCAAAAGTGCGTATTATTTGAGTGAATAAAATAGAAAAAGAAACCTCGCGGTTGGCGTGGGATAATATTTAATATTTAAGCTAATTAATTTTCGTTCGGAACCTCGATTTCTTAAAAGGAAGTTTTGTTCCGATTATGATTCTCAAATATCGGAATCATATAATTCAAAGTACCGATGTTAAACAGTCTTTAATCTTTAATAGATATAGTTTAAGGGGTGTTCACATGCAGGCGTTATTTGATATGTTCCCGAGGTCGAGATGAATTGTATCACGAATTTTTTGACCGTAAAATAACGTTTGGATGAACTGCATGTATGTATACTGTTACACATCATGTTTAACCGGATCATGTTTAATCGGGTCAGCCCGGTAACAGCCCCTATGCGTGGTTTATACGAGTGAGATAGGCACAAGCACAAGAAAAGAAAAAGGTAAATCAAAGAAATGCAGTGATCGTGTATAATATAATTTATTGTTTACTGCAGAAACAGTTAAATTTAAGAAACGTTTCTTGCTTCTATGGTCTGTGTATAAAAGTCATAGGAACTGATGACTTAATTATGCATGTATAAAATTTATGCATGATAACTTACGACTTACGCTGTGGGAGGTACATGCATGCAGACTCGGAGTAATTTATGCTTCGTCGTTCACGGTTTTGATACGTGACTTATGCTTGAATAGATCCGAATAAAAGGGTAAAAGACTTTGATATCCACGTTCTACTCACATCTTTTGTAAAATGTCAATTTAGAACATGAAAGAAAACAGAATATCACATGACAACGGCATTGAAGTACCATGTTTACCGTCCTCTTCAAGTCCTTTAAGCCTAAATACCCTAGCTAGTCTACATGGTTCTTTCATGAACTTGAGCCAAACATATACTTGTTACCTTTACATTTACTACACCACTAAGCCTTATAATTGCACCTTTTATCATTTCAAAAACTGAATTGAAACCAAGCTCAAAGTCTGGGTAGCAAAGCTTCGTTTTCTGGGCGCTATATTCACCGGATAGTGATTTCTTCAAGCTTCCTAAAATTGCCCGTTAATTTGTGTAACCCATGCATGTTAGACTTTAGTATTGTTAAATTAAAGTTTCTCTTTAGTAATTGTGATGTTCATATGCGTAATTTTATAGCTTTTCAAGCATATTTACAACCGTTGGAAAAGCCACTATCCGGTGGAAAGCGCTATCTGGCCTTTGTACAACCCGCCTCTGCTCTACAATTTATTCATGCTCACCCAGTCACCCTTGGATAATTGAGAAACCTAATTAATGCAAGACAGCAACTCCTGTTAGGCTCAAATTCACGCTATTTGATAAGTAGTAAAATGCCTGAAGGCAGTATACCAATCTTCACGATTTCAGCGCCGACTTTCCGTTTTCAATCGAGTAAAAAAAATAAGATGAATGATAAAATTTTTTCATTTCATACTTGACTTTTTGTTCGCTTCCTTATTCCTATTTGCGTGGGCAATCACATACATGACCGACTACAGGGCGGAACGTTAATATTGGATCTGGTACTTCAGACAAGTACCACGTGGGAACGCGGTACTCTCACTAATCTACGTATACTTACATTTCGCTTCAACTAAATGACCAGCAAATTTCCAAAAGTATTCAAAACGACCGTAATTGATAGCTTTATGAGTAAATCCGGCATTTCTGACTTGTCTTGCCATGAAACACGATTAGACTCACGGGATGGGACTAAGAAATATTGGAGTTAATTTTGTGTGTTTGTATAATGTATATGCATGAATTGTGCTCCTTCTTGTTCTAATTCATATCTTCAGATATTTGAATGGATACATTTTAGAAAACTGAGGATTTTACACGTTGAGTCTTAACTTAAATATAACTATGACAATTAGAAGTGTTGCTATACTTATGCGTCAGAAGGCTTAAAGACGTTGGGGAACTACTCGAATAGGGTAAAATATCAAGAAAAAAAGGGCGAAAGAATCGGCTAAAAGAAATGAACCGACGTTAACGAAGGTAAGTCTGTTTTAAATATTGATTTTATAATTGCTTTAAAACACGACGACCTTTGCGTATCATGCAGCGTATAATTCCAGTGTATCTTTTATAATATTGATTCCGGATTTTTTATTATATTGAATTTTTTAAATTGAAATTAAAAAGAAAGCAAAGTTATTTGCATGCGAGAATTTGAAATAATTTTATTGCAAACTCAAAGTTTATCGATAAAGCCGGCATTTTATAATCAAAGGCAGTTTTAAAAAGAACACTTTAAAACGTTTTGCGAAGCGTTTGTGGTTGAATTTCACCTTAAATTGAAGCTTATATTACGTATAATAATATACCTAACATATATATGTTGGGAAATTGATAATGTTGTAATTAAAAGTGATATTTTTAGGCGATTCATTTGTAAGAATATTCTTAAAAAATTATCTTGTTACCATGACAACTACTCTAGATACTTCATGTTCGGAAAATACAATGGTTTTGTCAGCAAGGCGAGGGTTTCTGCATGCATGTACTTTCTAGTATATATATAGAAGAAACAAAAGTATATTTCGACTCCTGCCAAACTTTTCATCATCGCTTCCTGGCTACAGTTGGCTATACTTGATTAAATAAAAATAGATTACTCTCCCATAAACTTTGCTTTCGGTAGTAATTACGTGACATGTGCCTTAATTAGTTCGCTGAAAGACCGCATGCCAAACCGCGACATTTCAGAAATATCAAACATTTTCCGTGTAACATTTTCCAAACTGCGAAACCACGCGTGGGAGTTTGAGAGAACGCGGAGAAATAATCAGTGGGAACTACCACCGAAGTGTTACTATAACACAGGAAAAACTGTTTTGTAGTTCGTTTATAATATCACTCAATAAAAAGTTTCATATATATAGCCATTGTATATTTATGCCAATTAAGTTACAAATTCTCCTGCATGGTACTAGCTCGAGGTTGCCCTTTGCTCCTCAATTTCAACACAAAATACTGAAAATAGTCAAGTTCTCCTCCATTTAAACTGAGAATTCACTTTCTGCTCTGTCGTTTTTTTGTTTGTTTGTTTTCAAGACTAGTATTATTAGCACACACATTTTTACGCCATTACAGCGCGTGTTAAAATTGTTTGTTTAAGTCTCTAAAATTAAAGCTGAGTTCGCGGGGAATTTTCTGAATCATGTGAAGCAATCATGCAACGCTAGCATGCTGTAAACGTTATATTATAAATATTATTGTAGCCGTAGTAGAATCAGGCAAAAATCACCTATATCCAGCACGTAGTATACTACATCGTTCGTTGTTTGTTTGACGTCGAATATGACATCAAGTGCATGGTGATGTTGCTTGAACTTCCATGGCGAAAAATGATTACTTTTGTTATTCATTGTTCCGTTGACTTTACGTGGCCTACGTTTATACAGTACCGCCACAAAACAGTAAAAGACTGTGGTTCCTTATTCCTATTTTGTTCGCTTCCTTATTCCTATTTTGCGTGGGCAATCACATACATGAGAGACTGCAGGGCGCGGAACGTTAATATTGGATCTGGCACTTCAAGCAAGTACCATGCACGTGCATGGTTAATATTGGATCTGGTACTTCAGACAAGTACCACGTGGGAACGCGGTACTCTCACTAATCTACGTACTTACATTTCGCTTCAACTAAATGACCAGCAAATTTCCAAAAGTATTCAAAACGACCGTAATTAATAGCTTTATGTGTAAATCCGGCATTTCTGACTTGTCTTGGCATGAAACACGATTAGACTCACGGGATGGGACTAAGGAATCTTGGAGTTAATTGTGTGTGTTTGTATAATGTATATGCAATTGTGATCCTTCTTGTTCTAATTCATATCTTCAGGTATTTGAATGGATACGTTTTAGAAAAGTGAGGATTTTTACACCTTACATCACGTTTGCGCATGTACCAGCTTGAATACG